CCAGCTCTAGTTGGTGGCTAAAGCAAACCTCAAAACCAGCACCGGTCAGGTGGTCATACCCTTCACATAAAGAGAGCAAATGTACCGGAGCTCACAATAATGATTATTCGAGTCAGTTAACCTTGAGGCATTGCTACTTGGAAGTTCTGGTCCCCACCTCCCAAATCCCACTCTAATCCCAGCATATGAAGCACTGAGAGACAGACTCAGTGGACAGTATGTAAATCTGGATATTGAAGGGCATAAATGCCACACCTTGAAAGGAGAGAACCAGAGGATAGCAGATATTCCAGATTAAATGTCCTGGGTTATCTGTAGTAGAATAACAGTGTCAAATAGCAGTCATATCAGGTCAGCCTTTAAATAATTTGGCAGGTATGAAGCTCTTTTTATGCTATTACATTATCCAAACCCATTCTGAGATCATCAAAAAATGGCACCAGATTTCCATTTCTGATACTAAGTTGGCTTTTTGTCATCAGCATTGTACAGTATGCCATTTCGTTGATGGCCAAGTTTGACAGTGATGATACATCAGCAGAGAATTGTGTGAATATGTGCAATTAGCAGCTCTTGTACTGAATATGTAATTATTTCAAAGCATCTTTGAATTGTAATCGCTCCCTGGCTCAGGCTTTCCCTTTCCATTAAATCCTCTTTCATTACACTGATTTGCAGAACAACCATTTTTCATTCTGATTGCTTGGCATGAATTTTTATTTCTGTGTTATTCTTTCCCCCTTACCCATCACTGCTCATTGTTCATCTCTTTAAAAAAAAAAAAAGGAAAGGAAAAAAACAGAGCTCCTGTGACCCACATGGTTGAGACAACCTCAGTGACAGGTACCTGCACTTCTGCCTTTGCAGAGCTTTTCTATGACAACAGTGCCCCCTGGTGGCTTTTTATAAATCATCTATTAAGATCACATGGTTGTTTATACTGTTCCAAATCCCAGTCCTCTAACCTTGTTCCCCTCATCTGTTGAGTCGTTCAGAGCAGCTTTGTGCTTTTAAAGCCATGGTGGAATGAAGGATGGAATATAAACGATAAAAGTAAGGACAGAGGATTTTGCAGCCTTGTCGCTAGTCTCATGTGTCACTGGGATCAGAAACAACTGTTTGCTTTTAGACTGTTGCAATTAGACAAAAGACAATTTGGGAGTCTTGGAAAGTCAAAGTAAAGGTGATTGGAGAGCATTTATCCATCTGGAAAATGTTGGAAGGCTCACCTGAGGTGCTGGGCTGTTGATAAGTCTGCCTTTATCAAGTCCTTGGCTCGCTCATCAAAGGATGTGCATGCTGGAAGTGTCCATGCAAACACAGAAAGTTTCCATGCATCCTTCACCTTTAGTTGTGCTTTGTGCTTTATATATATTTATGTATATGAAAACGGCACCTTCAGTGACTTATGCTGTCGATACATCCCTTTGAATGTTCCAATGGCCTTGCTGTTGAGGAAGTTTCACCTTGATAATCATGGGCTTTCTTGAAATTTGTTGACAACTGACTCCTCAGTTTAGATTTGTTGCCACTATGAAGTTAAAAAGAGCTTTCACAACTGACTTGCCCCTAAATTAACAAATAAAAACGGCATTATAAGCTATAAAATCCATACCTTTGTGTGAATAACCACTTCAATGTAATTCCTAATTGTTCTGAAATAGCTTTTTAACTGTTGCACATTTAAGAAAAACATACCTGGGTTAAGAATGATCAGCAAAAAGAAAGAAGCTTAAATGTGGCTGTTTGTTATGTATGCAAACTGCAAATGGATATTGGTCTTGATCTAATAGTAGAAATAAGATAAAAGGCGATTTCTTGCTTGAAGAAATGTTTACTCTGTGTTATGAATGAAAACCCATCTGCTCATCTGTTCATAGTGGTGATTTACTTTCAGTTTGGTAAAAGTCTGTTTTAAACATCATTTGTTGGTTTGTCTCTGTCAGGACGAAAACCTGATGATTGCTTCTTTTTCACCCAAAGTAGTGCCAAGGCCTAGCCTGACATCAGTTTCATGTATTTCCACTCAGAAAGTTTGGTGCCAATGCTAAAAAACTGGTAGCATTGTGATGCCACAAAGTTGGAACCACTGTTGTTAGTCGCTTTGGGCCATATTCATTGCA